GGACACTTCAGTTAAAGGGCCTTGGTCCAGTGAGGTCTGGGAGAGAGGAAGTGTGGGTGGCTGTTTCCTTTTCCTGAAGTGACCATGTAGCAGAATTCAGTATGGAAGGCAAAGGACAGGTGGGGCAGCAATTGGGGCACTGGGGTGGGGCATGTAGGCCTTGCAGAGGGGGTGGTAACCCCTCAGGGGGATATTTGGCCCCTGTTGGGGGGCAATGGCTCTTGTGTGGGGGCCGAACCCACTGTTGGGGGGGCCAAATCCCGTGGGAAGGCAGCAATATATATATATTCATGTATTCATGAAACATGTATTTAGAGATTACTTTATTATTATTATAAGAGACATGCTTTAACACTGTAGATATATCAATAAAACATTGTCCAACTGATCCCTGTCTCTGTCTTACTCTCTCTCTCTCTTTATAGTGGTCTTTTGTTTTACTTGTGGAGAAACATGGATTTGGGGGTATTTTACAGAGTGGAGGCACCTAGTTAGAGTGGGTCCCAGCCTGGGGTCCAAGATGTGGCGGCAGGTGAGAAGAGAAGGCGCCTGCAGGGCAGAGCTGACATGGTCACAGGGCCCTGGGGGTATAATGGCCATCTCTAGAAACCCTACTCTGTGACAAAGTGCAGTTTCCCAGAATCCGCTGCACCTGTCTCCTTGAACCTTGGTAGGCTTCATGGCCTCAGCAGGGGCTACCATCCCCGCTGTTTTCACCCCACTCTGCCATAACACACAGAAATGACAAGTTTTGCTTGTCAGCACCTGAGGTGCAGTTTCCCAGAAACCCCTACACCTATCACTTTGTATCTTGAAAAGCTTCATGCTATTTTCATCAGAATCAGGAAAGAAATTACAAAGTTATAGGCATTTTAGTTATTCCCCATTATAGCGTATGGCCAAAACACTGAAATGGCATTGAAACAGTGTCAAAACTTGAAAATAGTTTCAGCCAAAATGAAATTAAATAACAATTCAAAATGCCAAAATGAATTGCTGTCCTGTTGAAACGCTGAATCTGAAACTGAAACGAAACACAGGCGTTTTGCACAGGCCTAGCATCTAACCCTTTCTGTGCACTATATCTGGAGCCTAGGCATATGAATCAGAGCTGTCTTACATGATCTTGTATCCAAAGGTTAGCTATTCAGTGTGAGTTGGTAGTGCCACCTTCCAGCTGGCCCCACATGAGACACAGCCACACTTCTTTCCAGGTTCCAATAGGTCTTTTATTACAGGATCTTCTCAGCAAGTGAAGTCAAACATGACGTGAAGTCAAACATTACAAACATGGCAGTGCTTACTAGGGTGTGCGAAGCGTCGGATGCTGATTTGATTTGGAGGAGATTTGGCCCTATTCTGTGGCCTAATCTCCGAATCTGAATAGAATCAGGGGACCAGTTAAAAGCTCCAAATTGATTTGAAGCTGTCTGAATCGATTTGGAAAAGATTCAGAGAGTTTCAGCGATTTGGGCAGTCCCCAATGGCTGCAGCAGGGAGCTGGACTTGGCCTCCATGCTGGTAAGCAGGGGGTGGGGGAGGGGAGGCTGGAGGAAGGGGGAGGGGACCATGGCCCCTGCCAGGCCCCATTCCCTGCCTGTTCCCCCAGCCCACCTGAGAACCCTCCACATGAACCCTCCAACTCCTGCCTGCTGTCCCAGCACCGCCCCCACATGGCTGCACCGCCCAGTCCCAGCTCCCAGTTGTTGGAAAAAAATACATTTTCTTGTCAACTTTAACAGTCTTTAAAAATGGTCAGTTCTTGAAGCATGCTCCCATTGTGAGATGTTTGTTCACACCATTTCTTGGTTTAGATTTTTGGCATGATTTAAAAACAATTCTGGAACATCTTTTATTGTAGCTTGAACTTGGCTGAGGGATAACTAGCTGGTTTCCAATGTACCTTGTACTGTCCAAGTTACCTGCTGTATAAAACAGAAAGGTGGTTAGCCATGTTAGCCACACTGCCTACCTTTCGTATAGAACTGGCATTGATAGAGCACCAGCCTTTCATGCTTGACATCTCTCCTCATACACCAAAGGTAAGACAAGCTAGGGACTATTTCCATTGTGTTCAAGTCTGAAATGAGTTTAGAATTCCATAGGCATATTTAGAAAAATAAGGCATCAGTCTTAAATTCCTCCTCATCCCAGTATGCATTTAGTTGGAGAAGCTTGTGAACCAAAACAACAATGTAAAAAAATCTTAAAAGTACAAAAGATTTAATTAAATAAAGTTTCATATTTTATTTATGCCCCCTCTCACCATGTAAACACACACAGAAGCAATAATTTTTTTTCTGCAGCTCCCCAGCCCTCGTATATCCCATAATTAAATCCAGTCTTCAACTCTGACCCACAGAAAGATGACTTTTTAGAACAAAACTCTGCAATATTTTTCTTATATCTGTTTCTAATTACATTAAGCAGTCTAAAGACTAAGCATTTTATGGTGAAAAACAATGGCTGGAGCAGCCTTGTTCTAAGACACCCACAACAAGACATTCCACCAGTCATGTCAGTGTGTTATAAATTTCCAGTTTTATTTTGTACCATATGCACAAACCCTTCATTTTACCTTTTACATAAAAAGGACTTCAAGAAGCAAGACAAAAATAACTTACGATTATATGAAACATAACTGTAACAAATCACAACACTATACATATTAATAGAAAAAAGTGTAACTAATTCTTCAAAAGATTTATGACTTACAATATGCAACAGATGTGACACTGTAGTAAAATCATCCAGATATACAGTATGGTATATGGAGTTCAAATCTATATATGTGAACATGTATAAATATGTACAAGTGTCTTAAGGTTGATGGAAAACATATTTCCACTCCCTCTCCCCACCAAAGTGCTTTGTGTAAAAATATTACACAAGATACTCTGCTTTCTGTATAAAATAGAGATTTTTCTTAATAAAAACACACCCCGTTAATTTTTAAATGTGGGTTTTTGCTTTATCTGTTCCTAGAAAAGATAATAAAACAGACAACTTCACACAAACAACAAAAAGTGCTGTTTAAAAATGTTGCTATAAAAATTGTACAGTCAAAACTGGGAATAAACACAATTAGACGATTTTTTTACAAAGTCATTCACAACTCTTTAAGGAAATCACAAAGTACAATATCATATGACAAGTGGCATTAACATTGCAACACTTCAGCAACTGGTATTAGTAAACTATAATGTCTTTCTTTTTGATATAAAATGCTGTTTGAAGCTACGTTTTTCAACTCCAGTGTAGACCCTTTTCTACTGTAGATATAAATATACCATTTGAGTCCAAGAAACAGAATGATATAAAAAGAATTATTGTAAATTACTTAATTATAATATTGTCTAATGTACATTTTCTAAAATAAAACCGTCTTTTAGATACAAATCCCTTTAGAAAGTTAACATTATCCAGCAATCTAAAACAAAATGTATCAATGAGGCACATGTATTTGCATGAAACTCTGGCATTAAACTTTGTATGTTTCCATAAGCACCATTTTTCTTCTGTAACATGACAAACAATTCCCTATTTAAATATTCAAGAAAACAATCACATAGAAGGGTTCTTTTGCCTATAACTCTCTGACTGAACCAAGTTGATCTCTTGAAGTCTGTCTGTACTTGTATGGGAATAATGAAATAACCATGAGGGATCACTCTTTGATACATAAGTAAACAAGGCATACCTTTCTACAAGCCGGTAGGCAGCCCATCTCCATGCACTTCTGGTGACAGTATTGTGTTTCACTTTATGATCAAGGCACTTTAAAAACTTGTAAAACATGTGATTGACTTCTAAGACTATTTTTTTTTCAAACTTAACTGATAAAAAGGAAAACTGTCAATGTCCACTTTTCGTTTGGTCTTCTTCTATTGTTTCTGTTGTGCTTTGCCATTATAAGGCCACCTTGCTGCATAGTTGGTGCATTCACAGACTAGAAAATAGTATCTCAATAGCTTCAAAGGTCAGAAAGGTCTAAATCTGAACTCTGCAGTTATCTCCACCTGTGACACACAGTATGGCCAGATACAGACATTACACTTGTACTGATATAAGTGATCAGAAACCAGTCTATACCTGTAACAGAACAGAAGTACAGTAGATATAGACTGGCTTAAAAATGGCAGAAACCAGTCTAAGATTTGCACCCCACACCAAATGGTGAATGTGTGTTCTGTTCGCTACCAATCTAAACTATGTTGCTTACAAAAAACCACGCAACTTAGATAGATTTTGCCTCAGGCTTTTTGAATATCTGTACCTAGCCTAAGTGACCAACACACTTTGGTGGGGTCTTGGTTAGAAGGTAAACTTAGCTAATTTGACAACATACATACCCAAGGAGCTTTTTCTCCCTGTACTGATGTCAACTTGGCATGCCAGAGATGGGGTAGCCACAAGGGGCCCGATTCTTATGACTGGCGGTGGCTGCACGCCTGCCTCCAGGTTGATGGCAGTGGAGGGGCTGAGGTTATGCTGCCCCAGCTCCTTTCCCTCCATGTGCTGTGAGCTGCGCGTACACCCGCTGCTGCCAAGAAGCTGGTGCAGGGGCTTCAGAGCCCAGCACAGCTGTTTGCAGCCTCCCAGCTGCCTTCAATAGCTAGCCCAGGCTCTGAGCAGTTGTACTAGGTGGCTGGCAGGCTACAAAAAGCTATGCCGGGCTCTGGAGCCCCAGCACTGGCTCCATGGTGGCAGCAGCTGTACCCGTACTTCTGGGTGGATAGTGGGGGAGGAGCCAGGGTTGTGCTGCCCCAGGCCCCTTCCTGGCTATGTGCTCAGAGGTGCGCACACAGCTGCCGTAGTCATGGAACTGGTGCCAGGGCTGTGAAACCCCATGCAGCTGTTTGCAGCCACCCAGCTGCAGTTGGCCAGGGCTCTGGACGGCTGCTGGCAGAAGCTGCCCAGAGTCCGGGTTGGCTGTGGCACGCTGAGGAAAATGGCCCTGCCTACCATGCTCTGCCACATGTGCTGGGGATTGCTGACCTCTGCCTTACGCAAAAGACCAAGTGAGTTATGTTTGTTCCATGGCCATAGGATGAAGCTTTAATATAGGATACAATTAAATCTCTAACAAGGTCTTTGGAGGTTAACTCAAGGTTAACTCTTTGGGCCAAATGTAAATGATATATATGTTTGTGTCATCAACTGCCTTGCATTGCAGCTTGGTAGAAAAGCTTCAGGTGAATCTGTACTATTCTTTGCCATTGCAAACAGTACATCATAAGAGCTAAGCCAGTGGTTATCAACCCCTTAAGACTCAAGGCACCCCTTGCTAGATTCAAGGCACACCTCAGAAAGTGCCATATTTTAGCTTTTACTTGTTTTTTGACTACAAGAAAATTAAACAACAATTCTTCTATTGAAAGATTATAATAGGTCCAAATGTTTTGGACACTATGGATTCCTATTTGAAATGTCTGAGTTTATCTTATGAATCATGTGTAGGTGTTTGTATACCTAACAATGCCAATATTGTGCACCACCCCACAACACCTTTAGAAGGATCTTGGGACACCCTGATTAAGAATCACTGATTTAGGCAAAATAACACAAGTAAAGACAGAGGGCCAAGTTCATCACTAGTATTGAAAAAGCGGGATGACAATGGATGGATTTAAAACGGAATTTCTGGAATTAAGCTGATCCATACTGCTATGAAATTAAGTGTTCTAAATGTATACTTTGCATTTATAAAATAGATTAAACTTTCTTGTTTGAGTGTGTGTATTCAGATGTGTTTTGTCAGTATTGAGAAACCCCTTATCCCAAATTCATCCCTGGTACAACTACAGCAAAGTCAGTACTGCAAAATCCAAGATTAATTTGGCCCACATTTTACTTGATAGATCACAAAGACATCTCATGTCAAGTAGCTTTTTAAGTGACTTCTGAAATCCAGTTGTGTAGACTAAGGATTCATTTGAAATTCCTATGGCCTAGCGTGTGAATAAGCTCTGACAACTTGCAGCATGCAAACTTGCTGGACTACAATAATTTCTTTGGATCTTAGTTCTTCATATTGTCTCAGGCCATAATCTAAAGCCATCACAATATTAACAAACATTAACATGCATTAAGAAATTCCAAAAGTTTTTGTACACAACATGGATGAAAAACTAAAAAATACAGTTTTAAATAAGTAATCAGCAAAGATGCTTCTGAATTACATGGGAGCACAATGATGACAAAACTCATATATCTACACAAAACTTCATTTTTCCCTAGGCACATGTGGCTTTAAGGGTGGCTGAACTGATTTGGTCATAGCTTAGGCTGAAACTCTGCAGGTCAAAGTTTCAGCATGGAGTTTAAAAGAAAAAAAATAACAGCCAAGTTGTGGACCTCTAAACACCAACAAACCCTTAACTGGAGGAGTCCCTAATGGAAAAACCCTGTAGAATGGTATAGGGATAAAGCCAAAGAGGATCAATACAGATTTGAAAGGCTTCTATACAAACTTATTATAAAACCCTACAAAATTTAATGGGAAATGCTTGTTTGCTACAGGTTATATTTAACCTTCCTACAGGGTCTAGAACAGGGATATAATTGTCTATTAAATTCAACAGTGTGGTTAAAAATTATACAGAAAGATTATTATTTATTAAATTCCCCTCAGCAGTGCTAAGATACAAAGGAAGTCCTTGTACCATTTAAGGTAGTGCAGTTACACTCTTCTTATTCATTGTATAAAATATTAAAACAGAAGAATCAGTGAAAAAAATAGTAATAGCCACTCTGAAAGACTGAAAAGCCAGAGGAATGGGAAGAAAAGACCAAACCAAGGGTTGCAGGAAATCCATTATCTGTGGTCTTTTGCTTCACAAAGAAACCGCAACAATGCATCCAACGGGTGATTCCATGATGCGTCTTAAATTGTTCTCCCTTTTTTGTATTTTTGTGTGTGTTTAGGTTTGGAAGCACCACATACAAATAGCTTGTGCAAAAAATGTGCCTTTAAAATGTTTGTAGTGTTCTCTGGTTTTAGTCTTTAAAAAAGGATTTTCCAAAACCACATTTTTAAATGATGCCACCAGTGCTGCTTGAAAGGATTACAGCAGCAGCAGTTCTCTTATAGTCAGTCTTTGATTTCCCTTTAAGAAAACAGCAGTGCTGCCATGCAGCAGAACAAAAGAAAAGAAATTATTGCTAAAGTTTTGGCAAAGTTCTCTCTCTCTCTCTTTTTAAAACCATGTTCCCCTTCAACCAGTTACTTCTGTGAGGCTGACTGACTGGCAACGGCATTTTCTGCTGTCCAGTAGGAATGAATATGCACAGATACATGTGCATACATGTAGCAGTCTTATATATGAACAATAATATAACACTCGTCCTGAACATCAGACAGGAAAGAAGATATGCAAGAGTATTATGATGTGCCTTAGACTATTTTTAGCTTTCAGTATAGACAGAGGAAAGCTGACTAGGACAACGATCCACTGCATTTATTTGAAGGAAACTGGTGTCCTCAGATCCACTGCGGAACGAATCACCAAAGATACCTGTGGGTGCTGATGGAAGATCATAAACTAGAAAAAAAATATAGAAATCATTAATTAGCACTGAGCAATGTTCAGGTGATATCTGTAGTAGTTACACAGAAGTACAGTAATTCATACCTCTTTAAAAATCCATGCTATGAGCTCCTGAATTGCTTAGTATGGGAGAGAAAACTTTGCTCCACTGAATCCAATGGTAAAATTCCAAATATGCTGAACAGGCTAGCATTTCACCCAGTAATACACATATGAACACACCCAGAGACACACATGCACTCTGTGTGGTGCACGTGTGTGTGTGTGAATGCAAGTATGGACCAATTGTGTGTATACCAGGTCCATTCTTGTTATGTAAATCTAGTCCACTAAAATTCACAACTAAAAATTTTTTTTTTGATTGGTCAAAACTTCATAAGGCCAAAAAATAGTTTGAGTCATCCTGGCTAGCTGCTACAATGCTTCTAGCAGACCACAGAAGTAGAAAGACCATACAAGGCTTAGGGGAGAGTATTACAAAGTGAATACATGTGACAGTATATGTCTCACCCAAAGAGGAATTTAGAGAGTCATACAGCCAACACTATCTGTACACATGCCAGCTGTCATACAGTCATGCCTGAACCACATCCCTAAAGCCAAACACCCCAAGAAGTACTGATACACAGCCGAGTTTTGGGGAATCAAGCATCATCCTGAGTTGGAACAGCCAACAAAGCAACAAGTCTCGGTAACATTTATGACTGAAATGTAGATGCCTTGGTATTTTTAGTTCATAATAGTTACTTACCTGTAATACCAGAATGAGCTGAAAAGGCTCTGTGGAAAACATCGAGCCCCGCTTGGCCCATTGAGGAGGGAACTAGGCAGTCATCAAAAGTAGGGATTGTATTACAAGAGACACCATGTTGCATGTTCCTCTGAGTCTCAGTGTAATGTGGGGGGCAGAAAGTCTGAAGTTGCCCATAAAAACCTAATACAAAGAGAGGAAAGAAGCCATTAAGATATCTGGATATTTTGTTTAGATGGCATAGGCAGAGATTCATAGTACACTGGAATGAGAAACACAGTAATTAAAATCCTGGTTGCATTGACTGAAATTGAATCCATTGCTTTTTCTTCTTTTAGTCCTGTTTCATTACATAGCTTTAAATATGAGAATGCTTCCTTTGGAGCAGAGGTGTCAAAGATCTGGCCTATGGGCTGTATCTGGCTCACAGAGACATGTCATCTGGCCTCCAGTGCTGCTCATGACTCTCAGAGTGACCCACAGGCAACAGGCAGGCCTCACCCAGCACCCACTCCAACTTCCTAAAGCAGAAGAGTGGCTACTGTGTGCAGCACATGGCAGCCACTTCGCATTGCAGAGTGGAAGCTGGAGCAGGCACTGCAGGAAAGGAAAGTGGAAGTGGGCGAGGGTGTGGGGCCATGTGACGGCACCTATGAGAAGCGATGCCCCATGGACAGGACCTGGCTGCCTTGGGTTTTCTGCAAAAGAGACCTGAAAAGTGGAGTGGGTGAGGTGCCACACTGCCAGGACAAGTACTGGGATGAAATCTGCTCAGGATGCTGTGCCACAAGTCTGAGGTGCAGGGCAGCTGTGGGGAAGGGTGATGCTGTGCATTGGCAACTGCCTGTGTTCAGGTTCCTGCTCCCCAGATTGCATGATGGGCTGGATCCATAACCCAGCACTCCCCTGCATGAGCACCACATCTCTGGTGTGGCATGAGGCAGATAAGACCTCTGCCCAGCCAAGGAGGTGATCCTCCCCCTCTACGCGACGCTGGTCAGGCCACAGCTGGAGTATTGTGTCCAGTTCTGTGCGCCCCATTTCAAGAGGGATGTGGACAATATGGAGAGGGTCCAGAGGAGGGCCACCCGCATGATCCGGGGACAACAGGGCAGACCCTACAGTGAGAGACTGCAGGACCTGAACCTATTCAGCCTCCACAAGAGAAGGCTGAGGGGGGACCTGGTGACCGTCTATAGACTCACTAGGGGGGACCAGAAGGGTTTGGGGGAGACGCTGTTTCCCCTAGCGCCCACTGGCATAACAAGGAGTAATGGGCACAAGTTGATGGAGAGGAGGTATAGATTGGACATCCGCAAAAACTACTTCACAGTTAGGGCAGCTAGGAGCTGGAACCAACTTCCAAGGGAAGTGGTGCTGGCCCCTACCCTGGGGGTCTTTAAGAAGAGGCTGGATGCCTACCTGGCTGGACTCATTTGAGTCCCGTTTCTCTTTTTGGGGTTTTTTGTTGTTCTCCCGCCCTGGCGGGGGGTCGGGCTAGAAGATCTACTAGGTCCCTTCCGACCCTTAATCTATGAATCTATGAATCTATGAAAGTCTTGCTGGGGCTCAAAGGCAGGAGGGGGATAGGGTGAGCAGCCATGTGAACAGTGCTGGCTTTTTTTGCCTCCAGTACATGTGGAAGAAATGATTGAGGGCTTGGCCAGTCCTGCCCAGGTTACATTATAGCCCTAGAACGACCACAGCAGGACCATGCTGCACGTGGCGCCCACTCCAGCCACTGCAGGACATCTGTGGGGGCAGTCTGGTGGTCTAATCCAGTCCAGTCTGGCCCAGAGACCAGCCCCTCACCACTCATCTAACTGTGGGGCTGGATGAGTTTGACACCCTTGCTTTGGATGGGGTTTGGGCCCTTTGGCTCCCAACTACTTTCAATCCATCTTGCAACCATCCAGTTTTGACACTATCTATATGCAGGCACTAGCTGACCAAAAATCATTATGGGGAGATTTTTCATCTTAATGGAAAAGGAAGACATGCTCATGAGAACTCTCTTCATTCTACAATCCTGTGCACAGATCTGACATCCCTTCAAACTTCTTTTGGATGATTTAGAGCCACCGTCTGAAGTACTAATCTAAGATAATG